CCGGGCGGGGGGGATCCGCTGCACTTTGGGAGCCATAGTGTACACCGGTGTGATGGGGCGGCCCTGGAAGGAGAGCTTCGGGTTCAGATTGCAAAAAAAGTGCTTAAACTGCTGTGATATCCCGTTTCCACTCCCTGAATTGCAAACCCCTTAGAAGGGGAGGTGATAACAAGAGGGTAGGCAGCACGTGCCCCGTTGAATGAGAGTTATGGCATCATGGGGGGCTGTACCCTCCCTCCCTCACAGATTTGGGTCCCCCACAGTGGGAGAGCAGCTGTCCAAACTGCAGGTGAACTGCAGGGGTGTTGGGCACCATAACATCCTCGACAGCATCTCCTGAACGGGAACAGGGCAAGAGGCCAGACTTTCCCCCACCCTGAGTACGCAGAGCAGGACATATGGGAAGTGGGATGTACAGGAAGCAGGACTTGTGCTGAACTCACCTGGAAGGGAGGAGGCGTTGAGACAGCTGGTATTACAGCTGCGGCCGCTGCTGCTGCCGCTGCACTAGCTGGGTCCTGCTGGACGGCTATAGGGTTGATGATGTGTTCAACAGTGTGGATTTTGCCATCTTCCATCATCTTGGCTGGTGGTGCGGCCTGAAACATGGAGTACTGGGCACCGATGGCAGGGATGGCCACTAGGAGAGACCAGACACATCAGGTGCGTTGGGAACGGGTTTCCGGGACCTCATCTCAAAGAACTCTCCCTCCTGGCTGCCCCAGCTCTCCTGCAGTGGTCCTACACTGCTCTCCTCAGGGCGGGTAGCCCTGTTTGCTGACGGGGGACTTGGGGCACCTCTGCCCTCCCCATGGGTGGGAGCACCATGGCTGATACACAGTGACGGGCTCGGTGCTGCCTGCTCTGCCCAGCCTTCCCCCCCATGCTCCTGGCTTGGGCGTCCCAGGGCTGGAGCACTGCTGGGGACCGGGAACTGTGACCTGGATTTACACAGCTCCTTCTGACCACCACTGTCCTCCCCACTGGCCAAAAGCATGGCCTGAGCACAGGGATGGGTGGGAACGCCTACTGTCCTGGTGGGGCCCCTGCTCCAGCTGCAGAGATCAAGGGATGTGTAGCTGCCATAGGCAGAACTGCTCTGGGAAAGGAAATGTGGTTTGTGCTGCAGAAGTTGCAGGCAACAACTGGTCCAGTCTATGTGCCGTCCTTCAGCCAACCCTGCGAAACATCATCTCATTATGCATTTCCCAGGACTAACTTGCCTAAATATGTTTTATCCTAACTCTGCTACAGGATCAATCTATTTAATGACACCAAAAAAACACAATTGCTCCTTAGAGAATTCTCCATCATGCCAAATTGGACAACACAAAATAATTAGAGCTATGTTCTTTCAGACAAAGGGAAAACACTCTGGTCAGAATGATGGTGTTCAGAGATGGTGAGTTTGTACGTGGTCCAAAATGGAGATTCACAGCACTGCTTAGGGAAGAAACGTGCTTTGCTGAACATTCCCAACAATCACAAGAATTGGATATGAGCTGGCAATTTCCGCTCACAACCCAGAAAGCCAGTCACATCCTGGGCTGCATCAAAAGCAGCATGGCCAGCAGGTCAAGGGAGTCGATTCTGCCCCTCTACTCCTCTCTGGTGAGACCCCACCTGGAGTACTGTGTCCAGCTCTGGAGTCCTCAGCACGAGAAAGACCTATTGGAGTGGGCCCAGAGGAGAGCCACAAAAATTATCAGAGGGATGGAACACCTCTCCTTTGAAGAAAGGCTGAGAGAGTTGGAGTTGTTCAGCCTGGAGAAGAGAAGGCTCTAGCAACACCTTATTACAGCCTGTCAATACTTAAAGAGGGTTTATAAGAAAGATGGGGATAGACTTTTTAGCAGCACCTGTAGCGATAAGACAAGGGGAAATGGTTTTAAACTGAAAGAAGGTAGATTTAGATTGGACATAAAGAAGCAATGCTCTATGATGAAGGTGATGAGACACTGGAACAGGTTACTCAGAGAAGTTGTGAATGCTCCATCATTGAAAGTGTTCGAGTTGAGGTTGGATGGGGCTTTGAGCAACCTGACCTGTGAAAGAAGTCCCTACCCACAACAGGGGGTTGGACTAGATGATCTTGAAAGGTCCCTTCCAACCCAAATGGTTCTATGATGCTGTGATTTCCATTGTTGTCTCATAGTGCACACTTCCTCATTCAGCTCTTGAGCCTTTCAACAGTAAGGTTATTCACAAGGAAAACAGAGTAATAAAGAGGAGACTAAGAGGTGATGTTGGCATCTATGGGAGGTACAGCCAGTAAGTCAGAAATTAAACCAAACATGCACACGGGTTTCTTTCACTGGGGTGAAACTTGCGATGTGGAAGTGTGCAATGTGGGAAGCACTGGTGTCAGCAAGCAGTACTCTTGTTTTGATCCTGGAGACTGCAACAAGGGATCTGATCAGGTATCTTTCAGGCAGTGATGTTTCCACTACCAGTGGACTACCACTGTTTCCTCAAGCAGACCTCCATCCATGAACTTTTCCAGTTCTCCTACATCAAGTCCACCTGGTCAGCTCAAAACAGTTTTATCAGTGGTTTAAATAACCTGGATAATTTCTCACCGAAGCAAAGGCAGAGAGCTCACACGCTCCATTTTGTGGTAAATTCTGGCAGAAAAGCAGTAACAGGCAGCTGGGGTATTTGGGTGACCTCTCAGGAGTTTTCTAACCATTTGCAAAGAAATGAGCTTTAAGGTTGTTCTAAATGGTAGGAAACTTTGAAGCGCCAGGATATCTCTATTCCTCTGTTCTGGTAATGTGCTTTCAGAGTCATACCCTTTTAACAAGAGGTAAGTCTTGCATGTGGTATCTCTTACTAGATCATCTGAGGCAGCTGGGGAAACAGACCAGGTGCTTCTGTGCTGAGAGGGTGTGCTGGAACCATACCAGAGGGGAAGACCTGATAAAGAAATCTGAATCTCAACAGGCTTGAAGTGTAGAAGCATTTAGACTTGAGCTTCAGGCTCTTGTTTGGCAGTTGAATGAACTGCCACTAATAGGTGTGCATTTCAAAGCCCACTTTTCAAGCATCCTTTAGTAATACCTGGAATTCCTGAAGTATCTTTACAAACACATAGTGGTAATATTTTCTGATTGTCAGTGGGTAGTTTTCTCAGGAAGTCTGGTCTTCCTTTGGAAACTGCTCTAATCTTAACAGCCTTCCTTTGTTTCTAGACCTCTTCTCACATTGTCTTATCCAACTGTTATGAAGAACTCTTCACAGCCTTCATTAGATGCAAGCTGTAGTTTCCACTGACAGTATGGAGCACGTTTTGGGAAACCACTGCAGCTCTATTATTAAACACCACTCAGGTCCTGCAATTACAATTCACTTGGAGTGAGGAAAGGGGAGAAGACCTGAGGACTTTTGCAAGAGGGCTTGCCCCCATCACCTGCAAGGACCTTCTTCCTCAGGCTACTTTTCCAAATAAAACTTTTCCCAAACAGGATCTTGAGGAATTGCAGGGCTTCAGCCTTCATCCCGTTCACCTGGAAGGGCAAAGGCTGGATACTCAGATGAGGATGTGGCAGAAGGGAACAATCCCTGCCCTGGCCCTTGGGCCAGCTCCCTGCAGCCCAGCAGAGCTGAGAACCCTCCTGTAGATTCTGCATTGCTGGAAGCTGGACCCCAAGGGCTAGTGGCGTTGCTCCTTCCCCATGCTGCTGACAGTGATGGAGGAGCTTGCCTCAGCCAGGGACTTTCCTGCAATGGGAAAGCCCCAGGTCCTTTTCCCAGCCTTGTAGCACTGCAGAAACATGAACTAAGCAAGGGAGAGCTCTAGCCTGGCTGGAAATCTGGAGTGGGAATCTCCCAGGGTGAAATTAGCACTGAAGAAACTAAAAGAGTGGAAGAATGCTCTTAGTCACCATGCTCTAGTGTACATGACTAGACAAAAAAGAAAGTCTGCCTCCTCATGAGGAGGTGCAAAAGGGGACAGGAGGGGTGGGCACAGCTTCAACCCTTTTTAATTTGGCCTGTAGAGCTCCCACATGTTCATCCCAGGGCTCCTGGCCCTGTCCTGCTGTGTGCTTCTTGTGTGCAGAAAGCCCGGCCAGGGCCAGGAGGTATCTGGCACAGCAGAGCGCTGAGCCCTGGCCCCAGGGCTGACCCCACTGCCACAGCTGTGGGCTGGCCCTGGAGGGGTCCCCACACGCCTAACACAGGGCTTGGAGTGAGGGCTGGCTCCCCACCTCTGCTTTCCTCCCCTCATTGCACATACTAACCTGCACCTGGCTTAATAGCCACTGGATTGACCGCAGGTAGCTCCAAGTTGGGTACCAGCTCATATCCTTTCTCTTGCTGTTTGCCTTTGCCTTCGTGGTACCTGCTGTAGATGCCACGGCCGGCGGAGTATCCTCCCAGGTAGGAGCCCCTGGGGCCTGGGGCTCTGTTGCCAGCTGCACCTCGCCCTCTGCCTCGTATGCTGCCTGCTTATGATAACAACAGAAGAGGATGGTGAATAACGGGGAGCAACAGCCCTATGGGGAGCACAAACAGCCCCAGGCTGAGATCGGGCACCATGTGCTTAGAAATGAGGCTGCTCAAGTTAGTTTGATCTGAGCCTGAGTGACTTCGCTTAGGAAAACAGAAGAGTTTGGCCTTAGAAGCACTCAGTAAGCCTACGCAAGTTTGTCTCTTGATGTTTCTGACTGTACATTAACTGTTTATTTATACTGATGCAACTGCCATGACCAGTGTTATGGGTATCATACACTCAGCAGAGAGAGAGGGGCTCCTCCAGGTGATTTTATGCAGTAGGAACAGTTTCTGCTCTCTGCTCTCCTCCAGAGGAGACCCAGCCTCTCGGCTGGCCACAATGGGACCCTGCAGACATGGTCTGAAGTTGCACTGGCCTTTAGCCAACTTTGTCCCACCATTGCATATATTTTTACTAGTGTCGTTTGTTTTCTCTGCTGTTTTATTAGTAATGTGAATATACCCCAACTCCAAAAATATTGCCTTTATTTATCTTAGCAACTCCACTCATGTTACGACAGTACCTTGGACACTGCAGTATTCATGCACTCCGTGATGGCCTAATGGAACACTTACATTGGCAGTTAACTCCTTTGTAGTTCATTGTAAGTACAAATCTAGAAGTTGAGAAGAAGCTAAATTCTTGATCAACTAGGGTTAAAAATATTTCTTGGTTTACATGAGTGCTTTAAGAATATATTCATGCTAAACTGCCTGTTATGGAAATACACATTACATTTCAGGAAACTATAATTCCTGTAAGTACAGGATAATTGTAATTATAACACCAGTTATAGCTGCTAGGGATTTTTATGAATAACTGATTTTTGGTTAATTTTTAATGACTATAACCAATAACTAATTAAAGTATACACAATAAAAGAATTATTTTGCGCTCATGTGATTCCTTCTGCTCGTAGTTCTCAAATGACTTTATAAAGGACACAGCACTACTGCCATTTTAATGCAAAAGGCAAATAACACCTGGAGAGCTCCCCACTGAGAATTTCCCAGACATCCCTTCCTTTGGATGACCAGGTCACTGTACCCACACCGCCAGAGAAGGCAAAGGGAGCACTTTGTCACAATCTCTAATACTTACGATGCAGCTCTTTGGAAAGAGGCATCAGAAACTGGAGTCCTTGGACTTGCTCAGACTCAGTACAGCACTCATAAAAACCAGATCCCTCTCTTCCCCATCCCGTGCTTGGTCTGTTAGCTCATTCTTAACCATATTTTTGATGCCTCTCTCATACTAACCTGTACATGAGCAATTATTTATAGATAAATGCACTCTGTATAGTCATGAATTAAAATAAGACTGAACAGAAATATGGCAAAAAGACCTATAAAAGAGTGTTTAAGAACGAAGTGCATAGCACCAGTTGTCCTTTGGCTCCTTGAGTCGTACCAGCCTGAGATCAAACCTGCCCATCACATTCCCTAATTGAGCTTACTAACCTTTCACAAAGTAATCTCTGTTGGGCCCGATCAAGGCATTGTACGGATATCCATAATACGCTAGCGTGTACGGATCACAAGAGTAAACATAATTAGGTTGCTGAGTTACTTCAGGCGTTGCTGCGGCCCCTCCTTTTGCTGCTTTCTGGTAGCGAGTGTACTGCTCCTTGTCTACTGGCTTGGCCAAGGTAACCTCCAGGCATGAGCCTTCCAGTTCGACACCATTAAGGTTGTTCATGGCGTGAATGGCATCTTCCCTGGTTGTAAAGTGCACAAAGGCATAATCACGTATTTTTTTCACCCGCTCTACACAGCCAGGGTTAAACTGCCCAAAGACCTTTTTAATGGTGTCCTCTGTGGTCTCAATCATTAAATTCCTTACATAGAGGATTTTAACAGTCTCCATGACATCTTCGTCCACATCTATCTCTGGTTCTGCCCAGTCAACAGCAATTTGGTGTCCCCACAGCTGGATCCTTCCCGGCATGAGTTTCCTCCTGGCCATAGCTGCTGCTCGATGGCTCTCATACTCCACAAAGGCGAAGCCTCTGTTCTTCATCTTGTCTGCGGCGCTGGCATACACAATGACATCCAGCACACCTTCCGTCACCTTGGCGATCTCTTCCAGGATCTCCTCTCTCTTCTTCATCTTGGGAATGCCTCCTATGAAGAGCCGGCAGTTATCCACACTGCAGCACACACCAAGCAGCCTGCCAGGGCGGATTTCATAGTTGTTCAGCTCCCTGACGGCACGCTTTGCCTCATGCTTCTGCGTGTACATCACGAAGGCATAGCCGCGGTTCTTCCCATCAAAGTCCATCATCAGGCGCATTTCGTAGATGCGGCCGACGGTCTCGAACACAGGGACGAGCTCATCTTCGTAGACGTCGCGGGGGATTTTACCCACAAAGACTTCGCAGCCCCGAGGAGGGTGCAGGCCTTCCCACCCTGGAGGAGGGCCGCCATACTTGCGTTGCCCGTTCTCCTGGATCATGGTATATCCAGTGCGCTCCATGAGGGCGAGCAGAGCTGCCTCATTAGGTGCACCGGCAACACCTTCAGGTACTTTCGTGGTAGCCACATTGGAGGAATCGCTGCTCATCCTTGCAGTGGAGTCCTCAGCAGTCATGGTGTCAAACTCATTCACAGCTTGATAAAGCCTGGGAAAAGGAAGAACAAGGACACTAGTTAGAAGCTATTTGCTACCATGAGAATCCCACCCCTCTCTTTTGTCTTCCTGTAGCTGTTCTGCAAGTTCATTTTTCAAACTGGGACTAAGGCTGCAGAAAAGCAGATGAATGAGCCACACCAGACTGAACACTGATACTGCCAGAGGCGCATCCTGGGTGTAGGCAGTGGAGGATCACTTGCCTGTATCACCCTGGCACCGAGAGCTGCTGCACAGGATGTTGAAGTAACATGAACAGATGCCACCAAGCACCTCAAAACCTGAAGACCCTAGGGAGGCTTGTCTCCTCATTGAAAAGGTAGAGGAAGGAGATGACACAGGACTGGGAAAGGGAAGATACTGTCATGAAGCAAGAGGTTACCACCTCCTAAGTCCTCTCCTCCCTCTCAGTCATTCCTCAGTTAATCCATCTGCTCCTGAACAGCGCAAGTGCCAGGTGCCATAGTCCACGGTGAAAGATGGCAAATGCATGAGAAGCACCAGACACGGTTTCCCTCTGATAACAACCCCTGACTCCTCTAGGCCTTCACAGTAACTCTTGAGTAGGAAATAATACATATGCTTTAGCATCAGCAGGGACCAATTCTTGTTCTCTTGTGCAAAGCACAATCTGGCAAGCTTCTGAGTTGCCTGCTGCTTGTGGTACAATGTCTGAGATGTTTGTTTCTTCTGTTATTACAACAGGACGTCACAAAAGCCGAAGAGAATCACTCCCTTATGGCAGAAAACTTGCTTTAGAGCAAGTGGCCTGCACAGCCCTGCAAGTCAGCAAGAGGAAGGCAAGTCTCAGAAACCTCATTATACATTTGGACACAGGCAGAGAGTGGTAAATGCAGACATACAGGAGGAGATGACCATGCTAATAACCACAACTGCAAGGCAATGGGCTTCCTCTCTGAGCACAATTAAATAGGACACTTTGGGACTCTGAGAGTAGTTAATTCATTGACTTTTAAAGCTGGAAACTCCATCAGACCATTTAATACGAGTGATGGTATATGACATGGGCCATTACATTTTATTGTTATTTGCACATTGAGTCCTATAACGTTTATCTGAGTAAATAGTATCTTCCAGAAGGACCTTGATTTTAAGGAATCAAAGAGCTGTAGACCCCATCACTTCCCTTTAGAGCTTGTTTGTTGATCACTCCCTCAGACAAGCCAGCGTGCTGTATTTCTCACGAGGGTGTGTCTGGCTTTTGCTTCCAGCTAAGATTACTTCTTAAACCTTTCTCTGATAGACTAAGGAGTCTTTCAAGACCTCCGTTTTTGCCTTATGATGATGTTTAAATTGTATAATCAGGCCACAACTCCCCCTTTTTTAATAAAACTTGCAGGCTGAACTCCTAAATTCCTTCACAATCAATCATTTTTTCACTTAAAATTGTTTTTGTGGCCCTTTTGACAGTTCTCTAGGCTTTCAGCCTTTTTCACCCTTGTTATATACAAGGATGAAGATCATCACTCTTTTCCTCATGTCTCTGTATCACCAAGGCCTGTTTCTCCACACCTTCCTGCTAGCAAAACATGTGGCGTTTTTTTGGTCAATTCTAACCCCAAATCCTTTCCAGAAGCACCACTTGCTGAGGTTATGTCCCATGCAGCAGGCACACCTTGTGTTTCTTACTCCTAAATGCCTCAACCTTACATTCAGCCCTGTCCCAGCTGCCTTTTGAGTAGATCCCACCTACTGAGTGCTACACCATTGGTTCCTTGTCATTGTTTTTTTTACAACTCCATTAACCTTTGCATCGTCCACTGATTATTTGCCATGATTTGCATTCATGACCATTTTGTTGATGGAACTGTCAAAAAACGCTGATCCCTGTAGGAAACTCTGCAAATCACCGTAAGAAATGTTCCAAATCTGAGTTTGACAGATTTATTTTCCAAAAAAAAGGACAAACATTCAGGCAGATGTATTTATCTATGTAGTTGTGTTATTCAGTGGGACACAGGTTTCTCTCTATCCCACAAAGACCGTGATATATACCCATGGTTAGAACAATTTGGCCATTTTCAATGCATTGGTTACTGTGCAGGCAGGTCTTTCACTAGTACAGTATGCCCAAGTCCACAGAAATACAGGTGCAAGATTTAGGCACCTAAGTCTGATTTGTATGGTCCACAAAACCTATTTAAATCCTAGTAACCTTAGCACCTCATATTTTTTTAATAAAGCTCCTAAGCTGCCCAGGATTGTGCTGGTCTATATCCAGAGATGGCTCTGCATCAGCCAGGGCAAGCACCATTGTGCCTGGTTCAGCTCCTAAGTGTATTTGGGATTTGGAAACCAGACCTCTGAGCCTCAGTCTGTGGTCGGGCCTGATCCTGCGGGTGTTTTTGAGCCATGGGAGTTACATGCTGATGCTTCCGAGCCATTTTAATTTAAAAATACGGAGAGCAGAGAAGGAGGCAAAAAAGATGGAGAGCAGTAATAGCAATGCTGGTGCCCAGGCAATACTTCAGAAAACACAATTTCTTTGAAGCCACGTCTTTCATGGAAGTGCATCAGTTTTGAAAGCTTCTTGCTTTAAAATGCTGTTGATAAACATGTTTCTCTCAGATTCAAATGTTCCTCCTTTTTAATGTGTCACAGTCAGACTTTTTAATTTTACTCCTGGGAATTATTTGATATAATTAAAAAAATTAAGGCAGAGAAAAACATTTTCATTTTTCACTTGACAATTTATTCCTAAAAATGTGACTTCATTTTTCCCTGAACTAAAGGAAAGGAACAATTTACTGGGGAATAATCACTACCTTTATATGGGCCACCTGTTGGCAAGTGAACTACTTATCGACCCAGGTTTGGGTACATTGAGAAATGACTCATTACCATCAGTTTTAGGTCAGCTTACAAAATAAAAGTCTCTGTATTCTGCTGTCTGCAGAGCTCAGTCACTGGGGCTATAGTCTAGAAAGCTATAGATGGGCACCAGGTCTGTGGAGGGGGGAGAATCACAGCAAAGTCTCCCCTGCCCATCAGAAACCAGCTGGTAATTCGGTGACAGTCCAGGAACTGGCATATTCTCCAGCACTTTGCATTGCACCAGCAGGATGATTTCTAGTATTGGAAGTTGTACCTGAAGCTGCTGCTAAGTGCTGATGGCAACCTTTGCTGCAAACACTCCCATACACTGTTTGTGATAGTGAATTTTTAAATTTCTTTGTGAAATTTAAATTGCATTTATCCCTATGTAATTTATAGGGAATCAAGCTTCGTGATCAAATGTGCTTAATTTTTTTCAGTACAGCTCCACAGGGCTGGGTTTCATAAGTGTATACTACCTAAGACAATTATAGAGCCCATATAGTCCTACTTGATGTAGCTAAATACACATTTAAGAACATTCGTTGCTGCATGACACAATCAACACCTTCACAAAGTTCAGATATCATCTACCTTGATGAAAAAAAACACAGGCGTGTCTGGTCTGAGCTTTCTCTCCTCCTGTTTTTACTGCCTTAAAAAATGGGCTGACAACACAACCTAACTTTTTCATGTTGAAAAGAAATCGCTCTCAAGAAAATTGTTTTCAAAAATACCTATTCCCAAAGTGTTCAACCCTACTTGTGCATTTTTTAGTCCACGGTAAGCTAGTTGTAAAAACTTGCTACTATGTGTTAAGGGTGTACCCAAGGCATGAGCCCATGTATTGTGGGTTTAGTGGCCTTAATAAAGCCAGACTGATTTTGGTATATCCACCAAGTGTGATTAATGCCAGAAGAGGCAAAAACCAAGCTACATTAAAATATAGTGTCTTGTGAAACATAAGCACTTCATTTCTAGTCTCTGAAGAGGGAGGTACGCCTGATCTTGATGACAAAGATTCATAAAACAGAGAGACAGACTAAAATATTAATTGCTAGTGAGAAAGGTTGTGCTCTGGAGACAGCTAAGTTTTAAATGACTAATTATCAGGACTGAAACAAGACTGGTTTATTTTCTTCTTAGAAAAAGGCAAAGCCTGCCTGTTAGTTCAATGCCACCTTAGATGGATGCTAATGTCTGCCAACCTGCCGGGAGCCAGGCGTGCGAGCCCTCTGTTCAGCGTCTCTACTCCAAGGACTTTCCCTCATGCAGGTGAACTCTCAAATGTACACGTTTCACTGAAACCATTCAAATTTCACTTCCCCTTCCTTACAGAACTCCTTCTTCACTGCCAGTCAGGCAGGTGTAAATAATTCTTGCCCTAAACATTAATTGTCTTCTTTTCAGTGTGTCTTTTTTTTGCATCAGAACTCAGAATATTAAATGGGAAACTTACTGTGTTGGCAGTGACTGACCTAAAGCATACTGTGAGCAAGCAGGACTTTTATTAAATAAAACACCACGCCTTGATTAACAGCAACGTAGGGCCAAAGGCTGATGTCCCTTGTGCCAGGGCAAAGGCAGCTCGGGGACCTGGTGAGAAAGCAATGCCCACAGTCCATATAGCATCTTATCCCTGGGCTTGTCCAGCCCTGGGCATTGCCCTGTGAAGTTATGCAGCCACCTGCTCCTCTGTTGATCCCGGTCTGGTAAAACAGGTTTTTACAAACACAGGGACCCAGCCGGTGTCCTTGTGGCAGCGGCCACGTGTCCAGTGCACTCACGTGCTCCTAGAAAATGGAGTTGTTTATGTTTGCACTTAATTCATCCCTCCAGTTTTGCCTTACATAGATTTAGTGGCAGGATGTGTCCTTCTGCAGGTGACACAGCCATCAGCGGTCATATAGAGTGGGGCAGGTGCCAGCACCCAGGGTAGTCAGCAGGAGAGCCCCAGGAGACCCGCTGGCTCTGCAGTAACCGCAGGGAGGAGGGGACAGGGACACCCGTGCCCCAGCTGCAGACAGACCCTGGACCGTACAAACTCCCACTGAGCTGGCACAGCGTGTCCTCACGGACACCGCACGGCTGCCTGCTTGCTTCAAGAAACTGCCACAGTTTTGCATTTTAAGCCATAGCTGCTGCAAAGGGAAGGCT